ATGTTATGTTTATATATTAAATATATTTATTTATAATATAAATTCTATTAATATAAATATAGACATGTAACTACATGTAAATATTTTCAAAATACTGTATGTGTGTGTATTTATATAGACATAATAAATATACACAGATATAGTATGCAAACAAAAACTTTTATTTTGTATGCGATTAATCGTTTGACAACACTAGAAACTTTTGACTAGATCGACCCAAGGTCGAATTCGCCTTTTGCCGAACTAATTCTTCTCCCTTTTCCATCACATATCAGATCGGAAAGGTGTTTTTTGTTTTTCAATAAAAAAAATAGGAAATATTCGAAAAGTGGAAAATAAAGTGTCTCACGGGTGTTTATCGGTAGGGTTAGGGATTGGTGTAGTGAGGGATTTATTGTCCCAATAGGGCAGCATCCATTTAATAATTTTAATAAATATGATAACTTTCATTCAATATGTTATTATTGCATACTGTTTATAAAGTATTACAACACAATAGTGCTGATATCTGCCACTATTTGCACTAAGTATAAATAGCATCTAACTACTTTTTGCATTTATTGCAAATAAAATACTGCTGTTTTTACATAGTGTAAATAGAATATGGTTATTTGCACTTAGCATATATCGCTAAGAAAATATGCTGTTTTCGCTTAGTGTAAATAGTATCTAATTGCTATTTACACATAGTAAGATGCTAACCGTGTATTTCTAAATATGAAGATTGCACTGTATCTTGAAGATTGTATTGTATTCTATTTTCTATTATAAAGACATTTTAATTAAAAATAAGCACTTTAACGTACAAAAAATAAAAATAAATTATGTTCTGTTGGATGTGTTTTGACTACATTTTGTATGTTGTATAATTATATCTCTAGGTAATGAAGATATTTTAACAAAAAATAAAATCTTTTAGAAGGGCCTCATTGATTCATTTTGACTGGGGCCTCACTTAATGTAGGTTCACCTGCTTACATTTAGCTTTTTGATGTTGTGAATGTTTTTAGACAGCAGCTGCAGACGGAATGCAGCTGGGATGCAACTGCCTTGTCAACATAAAGTAAGCACTTATTATATCTTTCAGCTTCAAAATGAGATAATTCTGGCAGATACAGAGGCTAATGATGATCAATCAAATGAGGTTTGTCCTTCTCCTTTCACTACTTTTGAGTTAAAAAATTAGCTGTGCATATTAACGTTGCTTTTCAGTTCAGACATAAATATTCACAAATTACTTTAATCATCTTTTTTATTTTTTTGGTGGGCAGGCAGTGAATCGCCTGATTGCAATCACATCTGAGCTAGAGCAATGGCAAGAAATGGAACCAAAATGTAAGCTATTATCTGTTGTTTTATGTACTATTTCAATTTAGATGAAAGGGGCAAGATAAAAAAAAAGGTTTTTATTCAGTATTCAAGATTACATATTTTATTTGCATAGTTTGTGAAGACAGCTTATGTTTTTTTTCCCTCCTACTAGTGCTGACAACAAGTCCTGAAGTCTTATTAGCAGTTGGTAAAGAAGAAGTAAGCTGTCACTTTAATAACACCCAATAGGCAGTGTGTGTATCAAAATGTAAATGCAGTTACAAGTTTTCATATAATTTTCCTCACAGTTGCAAAGACTCAACAATCAACTTAAAATGGTCCTGTCATGCTCGCAAGCAAAGCTGGATGCCCAGAAAAAGATTTTGAAAAGGTGCAGTGCATTTAAGTGTTTTTTTTTCTCTCTCTGTATAATTGATATAGTATCATCGTTAGAACTTTAAACCCCAGTTTCACATACAAGGCTTAAGCCTAGTCCCAGACTAAATTGTAAGTCTGAGCTTTTTCAACTGAAAGAAACTTGCACTGATTGATCTTAAAATATATCGGTGCCTTTGTTTTGTCTCAAGATGGACACCAGTAATGTTTTTTTCTAAGACACGATTATAAAAATGACTTAAATGTCCTCATTGAACTATGGCCTAATCCTTGCTTAGTCTAAGCCCTGTCTGTGAAACCAGGCCGCAGTGGTAACTTTAAGCGAAAATGAGAAATGTAGCCTTGGCAACTAGCTGAAGGCTACTTAATTTTATATATA